TTGTGGGAGATGTAGATAGATTTTCACGTTCGTAGCTGTTTCTCGCGTTTGGGCGGACAGATTCTTTTGGGACTCGGTATATGATTTGCTATTGGGCTGTAGATGATGCACGTTCTTTTGTTTTATTTCTGCTAATTTATAATCTCATCTATTATTCTACATTGTGTTATTATATTTATGTTTATTGTGTACTATTATATAACTTGGGTTAGACTAGGCTTGCGCTCGCAGGACAAAAGTATTGTTCATGGTGGCACTAATCTATGCTTGCTTGTTCGTGTGTTTACGTTCTAATGTGGGTGGGCGAAGACTGCGTTTCACATTTTCTAAAATCATGAAATTTTCTTCTAATTTCTTGTTCTTTATTTGTTTTGCATGATCACATCATTTATTGTATGTTTTCAGCCTTATCTCGTGCACACATATTCCTTTTGCACATTATGTTATGCGCTTCTTCAGCCACTACAGTTTCATCACTTAATTTGAACAGTCAAATTTAAAACTTCCAATTTAATTCCAAACTAATTCCATATCTTACATCTAGATAGGCTAATATTGTAAATTATAAGTAAAAATAGTGCAGGAAATATGTATACTAGTATGTAGCAGCCATCGAGAACCCCTTGGAGATTAACCCAATTCTGTTGAATTCTAGCTCCGGCTTCAGTAGCCAGATTTCTGCAGAATCCTGGCTATTGTTAGAATTGTGGCTGCAGTTCCAGAATTCTGCAGAATTAGATTAATCCCCAAAGAGTCTTCGATGGCTGCTAAGTATTTCTTACATCATTTTACCTATAGTTTACGATATTATATATTGGCCAATCTAGATGTAAGATTGCTGAAGTATAGGAATTATTTGGGAATTAAATTGGAAGTCCAGAGGCTTTTTGTAATGTATTCATTAAGGGAAATATAGTAAAGGTGTCGGGTTGAGTTGCAAATGTAGCAATGTCGTATTGTACTGTTGATACAATGCACGGCAGCCATTATTAAAACATGCGTTACGGTATGTGGGGTCGTGAGGCGTAAAGGCAGAGTGCTTGATTCGGAACCAAGAGGTCCCGGGTTTGAGTCCTGAAATGTAACCGATCTTGTGCCATTGGGAAAGGCACTTTACCTTGTATTTGTCCCCTGCGTTGGTGGCGGTATGAACTAAGTTGATATATTAAACTTGAGCGCGCCGTCACCATGCATATGTCTGGTCATGAAATGTTGGGATATAAAAAAATGCGTAAATAGGTTTTTTTTGTTTTTCACTCAGTCTTGCTTTGAAGTTTGCCGAAAGACAATATTTTTTGTGTGTTTTGTTAAAGTTTTCCTTTTATCTTGACGCTACAGATATTAACTGAAGCCCTGGCCGACTACCCACGAATCGAAGTGTCGACGGAAGAGGTGTATAAGATATGCGCCGCGCTGACCTGCCAGTGTCTGCTGTTCTAGTGGCGTGTTTCCGTCTCGTATTAAAAGTTTAAGCCCCTGTCACACATTCACGAATCTAAAAAAAAGTAGGCCACCCTATGCTTAAATAGCTCAGGGCCAACCCTTCTTTGTTTTTTTGCGAACAATTGTAAAGTCTTTAATGTAGTTTTAAACTTTATTTTGCATACTGGACGTTTGATTTGATTTGTTGTGATTTGTACACCGGCATTTTGTACTTCTTTTTTTTCCTCTTGTACCTTGTTTTAATTTTGTTTTGTTGATGTTACTTACATCTGTATGTGTGGAGAGGAGAAAGCCTCGATACGTAATGTGTACTTTTTGCCCCATCCTTGAAAAATAAATGCGAATAAAAAAAACAATAATAATTTGATTTCCTGGATACTAGCTGAACGCCCCCTAACCAGGGTTAGGAGTAGGGCAGCGTAAAGCGATGTTTGGTCAAGTCGGCTACTATTCGGCTGCGCCTGCCAAATACCACAAAATATTTGACACATTTATGGGTCGGTCGGGAGGTTCCAACACGGTTGGCTGTCCGTTCTTATACCCCCACATACAAAACAGTACATACACATAATAAAAGCTAGTAAGTATAAAACCTAGTAAGATTATCATGTAGAACCATATAAATGATAAAATACTATCAGAGGTTAGCTACCAAAGTGTCTACACTTAACAAATTCATAGTTGAACTTTCTCTAAACATGAAATAATAGTAAGGTTGTTATCATTGTTTATGCAGGTATAAAAGCTAGTAACAATATTGTGTAGAAGCATATAAATTCAAAAACTCGTATTTCCCCAGAACTATGGTAGACTGGAACTCGTTGCCACCAAGCACGGTTGGGACATCGTCACTAGAGGACTTTAAACAACTCCTGCAATCAAATGTGCAAAGATCGGATTGAGTGTAACAAGCCATTCGGTGTGATATAGCTAGCTGCCGCCGCGCCGCGTGCCTGCGAAGCTGGTGTGTTACGCCGAAGGGCGGTTATACCGGCTATACCGATACAGAAATACTATCAGAGTTTATCTAACAAAGTGGCTAAACTTAAAATTTCATAGTTGAAATTTCCCTTAGGCCACACTAATTTAATTTCTTGGTTAACGGATTTTTCTAGAAAAATAATGGAGCGGACGGGCGAAAAAAAATAAAAGCAGGCCTAGGCATCGTATTATGGCCCAAAATGGTAAGATAGGAGCCGGAAGTCAACACACCAGGCTGGTTCCAAATTTAAACAATGAATTTTAAATTTAAAATGATACCATTGCATTGAAAGATGGAATAACTGTAACAACTACGAAGAAAAGGACTGTTTTCAACTGTTCAGGGCAAAATATGAGCATTGATTGCCCTGATTTTACAAATCAGAAAAAAATGAAGCGGGCGAATCCATTAACTAAGAAATTAAATTGCTGTGGCCTTAACATGAAATGATAGCAAGTTTTTTTTTTATCATCGGCTTCCATCCCCAGCAAGGTTTTCTGTAGAATCCCTCTCAAACAGATTGACAGTGTGATTGACTCCAAGCTAAGGGAGGAACAAGCAGGCTTTCGAAAGGGTTGAGGCTGCTCAGATCAGATCTTTGCTTTGCAGAAATATTATTGAACAATGCAATGAATGGAACTCTCCACTGCTCACGAATTTCATTGACTTTCAGAAAGCTTTTGACAGAAAAAGCACAAAAAAAGCCTGTGGAAAATCCTGAGGGCATATGGTATCCCTGTCATATAGTCTCCAATATAAGACATTTTTAATACAGTGTCATAACGGAAAACTGCACAGCTCCAATGAACCCTTCTGTGTTAGGTCTGGCGTTAGAAACGGGTGTATCCTTTCTCCAATATTGTCTCTGATTACTAGCCACTACCAGGCTCCTGGAAAAAAATAGTAGAAATTGGCGGACAAAAAGGGGTAGTATACCAGAGAAGATCCCGGGCCAAAGAAGATCCAATTCGGTAATAAGGTACGATTTAATTCAAGTGTTGATATGTTTTGTTCATGGATTGTCCGAGTTGTGCAGAACAAAGTCAGACCGTGTCCACATCGTGCTTTTAGGGTTTCGTCGACAGCGCATCGATGGCACATTTGACAAGGTTGAGCGGCACATGGTTCGCTTAGGGCATGCGTTGGTCTTTTCCTCGTGCCCACGGGTCGCGAATTGGATCTTCTATGGCCCGGGATCTTCTCTAGTATCCCTTTATTTCGGCAAATTTCTACTATTTTCCCAGTGATCCGCGGAGCCTGGTAGAGGCTAGCGTGAAACAACATCAGGCCGAATTTTCAACCCCGGTGACACCTTGTTGGTTGAGTGCATGCATCACAGGTAGGACGTCTTTACTGTACATGTGTGTGAGGAACATCTTTGCCACAGGGCGTGTTTCAGCTGTACCGTAGGGCTCCCAGCCTTCGTAAGGCAGGGTGCAGTCCGACTCCTTCCAAGCACCTGTAGACCGGTCGTATACACACATACATGTATACGAGTCACGGATACGTTCCGAGACCAGGCTTGTGGTGCGTAACAGTGTATACAGCTGGTTCTCCAGTGCAAAGAAGTAGGGTCTATCAAGGGTGCTGTGATTCAATAGCTGTTCTTGTTTTTTTTTCGGCGTTCACGCCAATACGTATACCGATTACCCAACAGGAAATGTTGCTTATGCTTAATGGTGACCTTGAAGGACCTATAACTGACCTTGCTGCTGAGGGACGTCCTTCTGTACCTAGCTGTGATTCTCATGTCCGCCTGTACCCTGCTCCAAACTATCATCTCCTGGTCGAAGCACGACAGCTATAGCCTCTTCATACTCACCGTGTGTATGAAGAGGCTGCGAGGTCGTCCTTCGGCCAGGAGATGATTGTTTAGACTCCTGCCGGTCTGGGGAACACTCTCTCTCGGTCGCCACCTCTTCAGGACTGAACTACCGCGGGGGCAGCCCTACCGGCTCCGGTACCGGGTACTCATGCCATCCTGCACAAGACTCAGATTCGCCTGGATGTTATCGTGTTTCTTCTATTCTAATGATATTTTTCGTACGAATGGGATTCACTGTTTCGGCTTGGTTGTAAACATTATGGCCAATCGCGTGGATACTAAGTCTTGTTACCGTCCATACTGTGTATACAACAGGCTGTTTTGCTGTGTTTGACTGTACATGTATTGTAGTAATTGCCTGGCGTTAGTCTTATGGACCAGGTAAACCTTTCTTTCTTGGTGCTCCGTGAAATATGATACACGAGAAGGGCTTCAAGGGAACGCTACATTCTGTTTGTAACATTTTCGTTTGGGTGAACACAGGCGGTCATTTCAATCAGAATCAAGTAAAAAAAGGCCATATATGACTAGAAAGGTTACATAGTGACATTAATGCGAATTTGACTAAGTAAAAGTGAGGGAAGATATTGATAAGGAAAGTTCTCGAGCAATTCATAGTCGATATCTTACTTGTGATGGGCTAAGATATATACAAGGGAAATAAGGACAACATATCCGATATCAATTGCAAAACCATTATTTTTCTCAAGCTTGTAAAACAACAGAAAGCCGTAAAAATCACATTGGGAATGCTTGGGACACTAGTTATCTAAGGCTGAATTTACAGCAAAGCTTTCCTGAAGTTATAACTCATTTACAAACTACTCCTTTGCAAATTACATTATAAAGGACTTTGATGAGTGATAAAAATTTTACACCAACAGGTAAAGGGAAGGGTACCCCTTCAATTTACGAAATACCAGCAGGCAAACAGAAAAACACACTCTATTACATCAACATGTAACAAAAACTAAATCAATCACAATATCAAGGATACAAATCAGTACTTATAGTAATTAAAAACGTGTACATTAGATTCACATCTTCTAAATTTTCTTCTAAAGTACTGTAAATATCTTCATTCATAATAACTTGCCATGCTTACATATGTACATTAAATGACTTTCCATTTGATACAGGTTTATATACAGATTTGAATTTAAACGAGAATGAAAATTATGCCATTTGGTCATTTGAAGTCCATACTGACATCAGACTACATGTACAAAAAAGCCCACGACCAACTAGCTATATATGTACGTTGCCCTAATTGCAACGTAGATGATAGAAAGGCCTGTATAGAGACAATAGACAGTGTCAATGTAAATGAGCTTATCTTTGAAATTGTACATGGCCAATGATAGATGTGGTCACTGCCAAGTCTTGCTTTGCTTTGCAATATAAACACACAGTAATGATGACATTAACTGTGTGCGTTAGGATCAGCGATTAGGAATCTGACACGTAGGTAAAAAGACGCGATCTAGACTCAGTCCGTCAAGCCACAGACCCGCAGCAGGTTTTGGTGCGACTCTTCCCAGTACTTGGACTCCAACAGCTTCTTCTTGTACTCTGCTGCTTTGTCGAATTCTGCCTCAGAGTATTCCAAGGTGTCTGCGATCCTTTCTGCCCATTTTCTTGCATCCTCAGCCAGGTCGGACTCCCTCACGCTGGTTTTCACGATCCTGTGCCTCATTTCTGCAGGGCATTTCTTCTCCTTGATCAAGTCCTTGATCATGTCTGCCAACCCCGACTTGTCAGAGATGAGTACGGGGATGCCTGCTGCGATGGCCTCCAGACCGATCAGCCCGAACGGTTCGGCACGAGACGGCATCAGGACCAGGTGAGCCTGCTGCATGTCCTGAGCGATGTCCTCCTGTGTTCCACATGGCAGCAGGGTGGGTTTGATCTTGCCACTGTGCAGGTTCTCTTCCAGGATTCTCTTGCTCGCTTCCCAGTCATCTTCATCTATCCCACGAACACACAATCTGACGTTTGTGATCTTCTCTGTAACCTCCCCCAACGCCCGCGCTACCAGGTCATGGCCTTTCAGCTTGTCCACTTCGGTCACTCTCCCGACAGAAAGCACGACTTTCTGCCCTCCTCCTGGCCTGACAGAGATGGCTTCAAACACTGGAGATGGTCTTGGGAGAAACAAAAAGTGTTGTCCTGGTTTGCTTTCTCCAAGTGACCTGTACTTCGTCTCGAAGAAGCCGTAGATTCTTCTTCCCAATGAGAACACTGCATCTGCATTCTTTGCATCCTCGAGGATGTCTTTTATCTTCTTCCCCGCGGCCAACGCTTTCTTATCTCCCTTGTAGTGCTCTGTCTCTTCTGGTATGTCGTGGTTGAAAAGGACCAATTTTGCCTGTTGACAGCGGTCTTCTTGTATGCTCTTTGCGGCTCCACTGGTGACATTTGCATGGCCCACAATGCACTTCAGATCCTGTGGTATGGCTAGGTAACGACTACTGTGGTCAAAGGTTAACCATTCTAAAGATGGCGTCCTCTCGTCTCTGGGTTTTTTGACAGGCAAATGCAGAATAACACCATCCTCTGTGGCGCACCACTTGTCTTCTTCAGATGCTTGCACAGCTGTAGCATGAACTGTAGCACCATGAAGTTTCAGAAACTGCGCCACCTGACGGTTCGTGGTAGAAATACCTCCATGGGACGTGCCGTACGTATCGTTAACCATCAGAATAGACGTGAACTCTGCAATTAATTAAAAAACAATGTAGGCGTGTCACATTAACATAAATTGATTTTGAGTTATGACGGATAAGATGCAGGTGCCATTAAAGCGATCCTTGCTTGAATGTCTTTTCCATTGATACCGACTGTTGCTCCAAAATTTCTGAATTTCTTATTAGCTGAATACCTAATTGGGTTACTGTGTCGTATGTATGCATTTGTTTAGAAATAGTAAGGTAAATAATTGTTGTTAAATAATATTTCCGACAAAACATTCTCTTTACATGTTCATTTTACGGTATGTATGACTTCATCCATACCTTGCTTCAGACGTTTTACCGGGGGGCCACTGTCGCTGGACTCGCCAATATGCCGAGTTTTGGCTTTCCTCTTTCCACCTGTAATCAATATAAGGTTGTTTATACGCCGTGTAATGTTATCCATATGATTCAGTTTTCTTGTCTAACCTACCGTCCTATGAAATAATTCTCAGGCAAAGATGAAGAATCATTTAGAATATGGTACAAAATTATCATGTTACATCTGACCTTTCTTATGTTGTATCTTGGACGCTTTGGTCATGGTGACCACAGTGCCTTCCTTCTGCTGAACCTGACTTATCTTCCCCTCATCTGCAATGGACATACGATAGGAAAAATGTTTACAGCTTAAACATGTTAAAGCTGAGATTTTATACCTCTGGGCTTTTTGTTTTATATTTTTATATTTTGTTTGCTATGTATATATAGTTGATGGTGTTAACATTTTATGTGTTAGATTTAGCGTTCCATGTTGTGTTAACACAGGTCAACATTTTCATCTGCAGCTTATAACATGTACCCACAAGTTATGAAATTCTATTTAATCTGCCGCAGGCAACTCGTAATCAAACTCGTAATAAAGAGCAATTCATGCTTAGTGGAGTGCACAAAGGAGTTCAAGTCTGTTATTTCTCAATATCATATATATATACAATGATAGGAAAACAATAGGCCAATGATCTACCTTCAGAGTGGAAATACACTGTCGCTGACGGGATCCGGCGCTTGAGATCAGTTATTTGTGATCCGGGTTTAGAAAGTCTGAAATGGACGGCTCCTTGGTACATCTTTTTGGTTTGGCTCGGATTGTTCAGGATCAGTCCAACTGACCACCTGTTGCAGTTAGCTGGTGGGAAGAAGAAGATGATACCTTCCTTAAGATCACGAGAATCCCCAATGACCTCTTTTTCTTCATCAAATTTGGCGTCTATCCTTTCTTCCCAGCCCATGACGATGCGTTGTTTGAACGGTGGGAGCGGCAACATATTGTCAGCTTGGAAAAAGTCGTTGGGGTCGTCGTCCTTGTGAACACACATGAGGTGGATGCAGTTGTTGTCTGTTCTTGCCTTGTTTGGGTTTATGATGAGGTACACTTTGTCTTCGGTGTACCTGTTCCAACATGTCTGGAATGACAGAGACGTGGTTGGAGATGTTGAAGGAACATTTGACTCTGATGGAACATTTGACTCTGACGCCCCCGAATTGGCAGTCTCCTCCTGCTTCCCTGGCCTTTCTGCAGGGGGGGTCGAACTTTCTCCCTCTTTGCCACTTTCCTTGGCACCGGCAATCCTGACAAATCAAACAAGACAAGGAGAAATGAAATTGAAGAAATCATACAAACAATAAATCAGTAGATACGTAACTGCCTAAAATGTGTGAAAGTATGAATCTACCATGCAAGCTCAGTGCATTACCCAGAAAAGTGTCTCGTTGTGAATGTGACTGTGTCCTCTGTCTCTTGAAACTCTGTCCTTAGCAGCGACCACTGGGGATGATTTGACTTTCTCTCCATCAGGACGGTCTTATCTGTGCTGTAGTCGCCCTTCTTCCATGCCCACGGCAGGGTGACGCTCACGGGCTCTAAGAAGTCCTCCTCCTTTTCTTGGTGCACAGTCAGTATCGGGGTCACAGCTGAGAAAGTCTTTGTTAAGGCGTCATCAATGGGCAGCATTTCGACCTGTAACATTACAATAAAATAGGAAGTTGCAAAATAGATCCTTGGTGGATTTGGGGTAAAAGTTCGTGTTTCACGGCTGCTCATTAATAGTAATTAGGAAAACGAATTATCCGGCTATACAGCAAAAACAGAAGCTGCAGAGAAGTCTCTAAGCTACACATTGGCTTGCAGGGACGACATGTGACACAAACTGCAAAGCAAAGAAAGTAGATTTGACTTTACCTCCAAGGACAGGGACCTCCCTGTCTTGACGCATCCTTTTGGAAAGAAGATAGTGACACCATCCTCCTCAATCGTGCAACCTTCTTCTGTGATTCTGTACGTGTTCAGCACAACAGAAGACGACACCTGTAGAAACAAATTGGGATTATTTACAACGATGAAAAAAAGATTCGACGAGCATGTCTTGGTCCACGAGAAGATATGATTACAAAGTATCGTAATGAACATTGCATTGTATCAACGCACCTTCCTCAGGATATCTGCTAAAACGAGACCAATTTTGGTGCTGGACAGTGGTTCTTCAGTCATTGGTACTTCTGTTGATGACATATCCAACATCCCCGCACAGCGCCTGCCGAGTACCTCTAGCAAACGCTCTCTGTTTCCTTCAGGGTACGCGAAGACCGGGAAGACCAGGTTCTTGTTGTGTACGCAGAATTCGTACCCGAGCGTGGACCAGTGTCTGCTGTGGAGAGTCTGGGGTGTGATGATCGGTACGACCATCCTGACGTTCCGTTGGAGAAGATGGTGCAAGAGTTTGTCTGTGATGATTTCTCCTGGTTCGATGACGTCTTCAGACACTGTTACACCGTACCTGCTGGACGATTGGACTGCCTGTTTCAACAGTGGCTGGGTGAGCTTGTCATTGTAGTCTCCGGTGTGTAGGAGAACAATTTCGTTCCCTGGGAATAGATGTGAACGTTAATATTCTAATGCATGAACAAAGTGTCAGACAAACAAGCTGTTGAACATGACAAAGCATCGCGGAAGGAGGAAGATAAATCAGAGGCTTCAAACTACAGCTAGGGAAGACATACCTCTCTCTTCCCTGGGAAACATGGGTGCTCTCTCCGGCAGACAAACGTCCACGGACGCCCCCAGCAAGCGACGGCACATGTCTCCGGCCCTGTTGACGGTGGCAACCAGCTCTTTGAACCTGCTGAACGATGTGAGCTCGTGTCTGATCCGATCGCACTGTGACAGACTCAGCCCTCTGCAGGTCTCCATACAGTCCAGGACAGGGCCGATCGTGTGGACTGAGTCTGGGTTCAGCGTCGGCTCTATCATCACGGGTCCGGAACCACCTGAGTTTTCTGCATGTATAACATGTTTTATCAGTAACGATTTAAAACACTATTTCAAGAGGATGAACTAGACAAAATCAGACATCTGAATGTTTTTACCTGCACAGAACGTTGTCGTATCACTTCTGCCACGTATCCAGACATTGATGAAGTCTTCTGGAAAACTGATATAAAAACTATCAGTCACACATGGCTTACTTACAATGCAATGTTAGGGACATACAAGACATGTGAATACCTTGATCCATAAAAACGTGCAAGAAGAATGCTGTGCTTATCGAATGAAATTGTTTGATTCACTGAAAAATTGAAAATATAACTGGACTCACCGACTGGATCCCGTTGCCGTGTCTTGTTCGATGTCAGACAGCGGGTAGAATACTGGTGTTCCTGTTTCTTTTTCTGACTCATCACCAAAGCACCAGTCATACTGGATGGACGGGATCCACTTCTCCTTGATCTCAAAGAGACAACTGCTGAGGAACTTTCTAACAGGAAGGGCCTGTGTGAATACTGGCTGATCTTCAGCTTCAGCCGACAGAAGCTCTACCTTCAGGTAGTGCTTCACTTTGGTTACCACAAACTGTTGCTTTACATCGTCGGTAGGGAAGCGGCCGCAGCCGGCGAACACGTCGGACTCTTGAAGACCGAACCTGCGCACACAAATGGCTTGTAGACGATAGAACATGCCACTTGGGAGGAACATGTTGTCGAATACGACATACAGAGGATGCTGGTATCTCCTCATTAGCCCAGGATACAAGGTGCTGTCGTCAGGCTTTGCGGCCAGGAGAGATGGTACGAAGTAGATCTCTTCTTTCTCAGGATCACCCGAAGTGTCATCAAACCCACCGATCGGCGTGGCATAGCAGAGGAGGTAGTACTTTTCCATCAGTCGCTTCAGGAAGGGCTTGTGCCGCAGTAGGAAGGGTTTCTGCATCTTTTGATCTGCTTTGGTCCAGATGATTGTCAACAGCCTGTCACTGAGGATGCCTTCCGTCTCCAGCCTCCTCCACATCTCGGCAACCTCCCCATCCGTGCTCCTGTTCTGTTGGTACTCCGGGACGGTGATGATGGTCTTGAAGACGTCAATCATCACCTGGGGTCGAAGGGCCACGTGATCACGGAGAACAGGTTCGTTGATGAAGATGATGTCACCAAGGTCATGTAGAAAGGTCAAAATGTCGGCAACATGGCTGTCGTCCGTGATGCCCACGTCATCACTCCGGGCCAGATCGACGACATCTTGGAAACTGCAGAATAGGTTGTCCTCTTTCCTCTTGTCCATCAGTTTGGACTTCAGATGAAGCCAAGCCATCGGCACCTCCTGGCCCATGAACCACAGACCCTTCGCCACCTCACGGAGGTATTCTCGGAGCTCGTCAATGTCGCTGTTGTCCTCGTCGAAGTTGTCGATGACAAATATCTCAGGCAAGACGTGTTTACCGGCAGCTTTATCATCGATGTGATCACGTATGTCTTTCTTGTACTCCTCAATGTCCGACTGAAATTCAGAGCACAAAGTCCTTACGGATCTTAAAGAACTGTTGATAAATCTGAGAAAACAACCCATGGCTGAACCTTGCAGCCAAGGATATTAACTACACGTTTTAGGGCAAATACAAGCTAAGACCATTCGTAGACAAGAAAACATTCCCCATACCTCATCAACTCTGTCCTTGTGCGTGAGGACCAAGACGACACGCGGCTCTCCTGTCTGCTCCCGCCCGTGCACCAGGGTGTGTGTGCGGACTGAGTTCAGCCAGTGGTCCAAGTAGTCTGGACAAGTAGAGACGTCTTATCATTTTTGTGTACGAAATTATCTTTGCCTTATCATTTCAGCTTTCCAACGTTACATATCTTGATGTGATTTAAGTTTTTAAATAACCCATGTTAATTTTTTAAATTCCCATGTCCAAGCTTTGAAGTTGACCACCTAGTTTACAGTTAAAGAAGTAGATATAGTACCTCTTCCAGTTACGAGGTTGTCCGCTGCAGCCTTGTAGTCCAGATCAGGAACTGGGTCGGACAGCTTCTGCAGCAGTGACATGACCAGGATGTAGATCCCGCGGTACGTGAAGAAGCACTGGTGCGAGCCGTAGTACGTGGCCTGGCCGCCGAAGTCCCAGAGGGAGAGACGCGGGTGTTCGGCTGTTCCAAGCTGCTCCTCGGTAACGCCACTTTGGAGTCGCTCCTTGGCTTTTTCTATGACATCATCCGGAATGTCTGGTGTTTGCTTTTGAACCATCACGTCACTCTGAAGTCGCTGTTGAGCTTTTATTTTGACATCATCCGGCATGTCTTGTGTTTGTCGTGACGTAGTCGTAACCACACTTTCTTCTCTCCCTGCAATGAAAGATTTGTCTTGTTTAATCGATCTTACAATTTCAATGCCATTCATTCTTTTGCATCTTTTCTGTAGAGGCCAATTACTGCATTTGCAAATAGGTTTAACTTGGCTCAAAGACATACATTTACAACAAAGAACCGTCTAACGTAAAGCAACAAGTTCCCTTTTCTACATCTTCTATAATGTGCATTTCGTACGTGTGAAAACATCTAATAATGAATTTCTCACCTTTCTGCAATTTTGGTGTCTGTTGACTTTGCGTCGGCGTTTCGCCCTTCGGTTGTTTCTCCTGCTGCCTTTGCAAAGTCCGTTTCCTTGTCATTTTTTGTGCTTTTCCTGCATCTTATATAAACACGAGAAAGTCAGTGAGATATCACTGTCCCTTCGTCTCTTTATGTGTTTTTCTAGAGAGAGAACTTTAGCAATACGTAAATGATGAGGTGTGAAAAAGATATATAGGTGTCAATTCTCTTGTTCTGTGTATACATTTTAGATTAATGAATAAAACCTCATACTTTTAATTTTTTTAACACTAAATTTGTAACCGTCGTTGTCCTGGCTGTTAACATTTTTGCCCTGTACATGTGTATATTATGTCTATTGATATAATATACACATGTACATATTGATATATGTAAAAGTGATATTTGATACCTGTAGACTTTTTCCTGGCTGCTCCTTGGGTTCGTGACGATGTCCGGGTGCGTGGTTTGTCCCGTTCTTGTTGTTCTGCCAATCGTTCTGCCATAGTTTCCTTGAATTCGTCTGGCTCCTCTGTAAGCAATAAATGCCATGTACCGTATGATTCGTTGTTACAGCTGAGACCGTTTGGCAATTTTTATCTTAAACAAACATGGTATTCATGTTGTTGTTTTGTGATTACTGTTTTTAGATGCAGTATTGCATGACACGTACTTGTGGGCCCAAACTCTCTAAGTAGCAAGAACTACAATGTCGTGCCAGGTGATAGATATTAACATGTTTTTCAGACCTTTTGCCTTCCGCCAAGTCTTGGTCATCACGCTGGGTGAAATCTCGATGCCGTCTGTTATCGGTTCATTCTCCACAGCCTTCTCTCCCGTCAGCCTCCTGACGACACACGTCTTCCCGGATCTGAACTGACCAACCACGAGCCCGCGCACGCTGTGCACCGGTCGCGCCCCCTGGCGGCAGGCCTGGGAGTACAGCTGCTGCATTCCAGGACCCCGCAGCTGTATTTCGAGTGGAACACTGCTGTCTCCTGGATGAGGAGATTTAACATCTTATCAGACATTTATAATTATGTCACTTTGCATCTGGTGCACCTACGTAAAGCCGACGTCTGATTAGATAGAAAGAATGATCTCCTGACTCAAGTATTTCACAGCTAAAATAGTTACACCTTACCCTTTGTTGCCGACACCCCTAAGTCTTCACGATGTCCCGTGATGTTGTCATCCTCCATGTCGTCTGTGGGGAGGCTCCTCTTGCTGCCGCCCTTACTCTTACGATAGTTTACGATGAAGTTCTGAAAAATCAATTACATGTGACATAACTGTTACCCAAGATGATACAACGAAACGATGAGTCACAATTACTTTCAGGCACAGAGGTACGATTTCATAAGGCTACAGAAAATAGCGCACGAGTTATACAAACAATTCCAGGTAAAGCTCCTTCTCTCTGTCAGCACACAACGTTTTAGCCTTTAGTAAAATACAACTGATTGAGATCATGGAATCAACCAGTCATCACAAAGACACACCTTCACTTGGTCTACAGTTTTCCCGCTCTGCTTAGCTGCTTCTTCTATCAACGGACAATCCTTCTTCACCTCGGTCATTCCGCTTTCTTCATAGAACCGGACGAGTACAGGATCGTAGCCTTTCTTATGTGTGGAGACTTCCTGTAAACATGCACACGTGAAAGTAAGTTATGTTTGGTATGAGGGCGGTTCTACAGTTGTTTCTTAAACACTTCTAGTAATTGTTGTAGGATAAAATTGGACATGTATCATTAATACATGTACATATCTCTATGGATAGATCACATGTCTTCCAACTGCACTCGTAGCTAAATGGTTCTACGCAATTCTGATGATAGTCATAATGCATATCTCTTTAGCCCGCCAAGCAGAATACAGCAATTCAAATACTAGCCTGCGTACCACCAGGGGAACTAAAAAACAAACTTTATATCATCTTTAACTTGTATTGATATTATCAGCAGTTGTTTGTGAACCGAAGTGTTTGACAAGAAATTTAGTCATCTCAATCATATTCTTTATATATAATGCTTTATGATTTTGTATCACGGAAGTTTTGAAGCGACTCACATTATCCTGTTGTCGGAGAAGCTTCAGTATTTCCTTTCTACCACGAGTGATTCGTTCTTCATCATCTTCGTTGCCCAGATAAGCTTTACTGGTGTTCTTATCTGCAGCGATGTCTTCCGCCGTTCGACCAACCTGGGAATGAACGTGCTGTCAATTATAGCCTTATGAATGTTGAAATATCGGAAATAAACACGACTGGATGAGAAGATAATATTTATTAAGCATCTAAAACATATACAGTAGGTACATCAGAAAAGCCCATGTCTAGAAAGAAATTGGTTTGTAGGTGTTTATGTGATACGATGCAGGAATATCAGAACACATCGTAATTTGTGTGTTTATTCCAACAACAGCTTCTCCTTGCCTTGGACAGTAATGTATGTAGTATCATCATCATAATGTATGTGGATCATCATTTAAATGTTTACTTTAAATTTTTCTCCCAAAGAAGTAAAGCCAATATTGTATTTCTGGATTGCTGGTCAGTTGTTTACCAGAGAAGCCGATGAACCGACTGACCATGTTCCTGAGACCGGCATCAGCCCCGTGCTGCAGCAGTATTTCCGCACACTTGGGGCGGCCCTGTGTAGCTGCGTTATGGAGGGGTGTTTCTTTCTGTTGGAGCATTGACAGTGCAATTATTCATCCTTAGTATAATCAAATAGCAACACCTTATGTAA